TGTTACTTATATTTCCAGAAAGTACGTTGGGGATTTACCTATGTAACTCTGAAAATATATGACCATGTCTCACACCAGGTAGGACTAAAATGAATTACTTTTCTGATCCCATAAGAGCCTTCCTTTACAGTCTTTCTTTTTTGAGTTGTAATACATCATTCGCAATCACAATCACTAATAATATACAAAATCTAGTCTTTTTTAATCCAGTAACTGGGGACCATGATTCTTTCATAATTTTTAAGTGATCAGGTGAGCCCAGAAATAGAATTGAAGTTTGAAGTAATGAACTTGGTGCCCAGCTTGGCTTTCAGGGGCAACTTTGCTGTCTTCTTTCCCTCTCGGACTCTGTGGTCGGGGAGGCCTTCCATTTGTGCCCAGGTGGTTTCGTTGGCACTGTCTGCTACTGCATGGAATCATAGGGTTTCAGGATATGAAGACAGTGGTCTGGTCCAACTCCTTTATTTTCTTAGAGGGGGAAATGGGGGCCCATAGCCATTTAATGACTCACTGACAATTACCGCATATTTGGCAACAGGGTCAGACTGTCTCCCCGTCTAGGGGGTGGGGCAGGGGGAGAAAGTGAGATAAGGCACCCAGAGGCTTTGAGCCCAAGCAGCTCTCCTTAGCTTACACACCCATCCACTCAAGCACTGCCTCCAACTGGTGTGTCTGCGGAGATGGAAATTACTGTCCCAGGATGCTCCGTGCCTGCCAGGTAATTGCTGATGGATATGGACCCCTGGGGGGGAAGTGGTCCCCAGCAGCAGTAGTAGCAGCAGCAACAGACAAAGACATCAGCTTTTATTGTACTCCAGTGTTTTGCTTATCACCGTTCAGTATAGAAAACGTGGGTAGATTTGGGGCTAGGGGCTCATTGGCATCCAAGTTTAAAAGGGGGCAGACCTGGCCAAGCTTTGTTTGAGTACAGAGTACTTTTTAGATGTTTAACAGTTCTGGATTAATGCTTAGGGGGTTTGGGAATTCTTCTTCAACTAAAATGTTAATGATGCTAAGAACCCAACCCTCTTTAGTGCCAATAAAACAGACAAGCTAAGTTCATTGAAAAATCAATGAGTTGCCTAAAAGAAGCAAAGAGCTGATTCGATTTAGGACTGGAGATTGCCCAGGACACACCAGGTGGAAAGAGGGTCCCAGAGACCATGAGGAGCTAAGAAAGGAGGCAGTTCATCTGTTTCTGCACAGAATCAAGCTGTCATCCCCAAGGAATTGTGGGAGACTGAGCCAACCAGTTAGAACCAATTGTGGACTTTGTGATGGGTGCACTGTCCGGGTCTGTAGGTGGTGACTGCCATGGGGAGAAGGAGAGGAAAGCTGGGGGATAGCACGGTCTTATGGGAAAGGGAGCTCAGAGGAAGAAAGAAAGAGCAAGTCGGGTAATGGAGCTTATCTTGTTTTCTGTTCAGAAACGGGTTTCAGAGAGCACCGCTCTGGGCACGAGGAGACCTCGACTCTAGTCCTGGCTCTAGTTTGGTAAAATACCGTAAATTCCCAGCTAACAGCCTCCCTCCAGCCCCTGCTCTTTGGACAACCCTTTGCTTCCTTAGTAGCCAGGCAGCTGGAAATGCTCAGTGACTCAGGGCAGAAGCGACAGGGAGGAGGGCAGCAAGTGACACACTCACCCAGCAAGTGACACATTAAATCATTGTCAGTATATAGTTTCTGCCCAGCCCCCCCCCCCCACATAGCTAGTCTGAGTTCTGGTCCTGGCTGCTCCTAGTAGTGGTTTGACCTTTTCAGATCTCAGTTTCCTCATCTGGAAAATGATGGAGGTGGTCTAGGTCAGTGATTTGCAGAATCATATGCAGAGTGAGGGGGGATCCACTCCCGGACACATGCACACAGGAATGCACACACACACACACACACACACAGTATGTTAATTTTTGAAATGTGTCTAAGTAGTATCTTGTATGAACTAGGAGTTATTTGGTAAACAGAGTGAAAAATGCTGGACCAGATACTTCTGTGGTCTCTTCTCATCTTCTGTGAGCAATTTCCTCCTCTTTTCCACACTCCCAGCCACCTTTCTCGTCATCTCCCCTAGTCCTCTCTTAGAGTCTATTAAAACCGTATTTTACCTATGTCAAAATAGGAGGTGTGAACCAAAACTGAACAGAAGTCAAACTTTGTTCAGTTCATTCTAGATCCATGACTTCTTTTCTTTAAATCTGTTTTAAATTTACAGTCAAGCCAGTAAGACATGTGTTAATTAACACAGTTCTATGTAAGTCTATTTCAAGATTCTCTCCTTCCTAATCCCGTGCAAACCATGTATTGGCCGCAGTTGTAGTTTATCTCAAAATCTCAGCAGGCCAAACAATGTTGTCAGCTATCGGCCATATCATGGTTTAAAAAAAAAAAAAGGCAGCTCTATGTGGAGGCTTAGCTCATAAAGAAAACCTTCCTTGCAGTACCTAAAAACATCACTTTTGGGGGGGGGAGTAGGGGGCTGTCTTAGAAATTTACAGCACCCTGAATCCAGTGAATAGTATTTTGTCCAAATATTCAGTGGCATTTAGAGGCGAGTGTAAGTCCTGTGTTTAAGTCTCAGCTCTGCCACTAAAATCAGGAAATTTAAAAAGTCACTTCGTTTTTGTGGACCAGTGAGTATATCGTATCCATCATCTGGGTTCTGGAGTCTAGAACAGTGCCTGGCATAGAGTAAGTACTTCCTAAACATATAAGAATTGATGAGTTAATCATTGAGTCTAGTTTCATTGTTTTGATGTTGGCACAGCACATTTTAGAAACAAAAGAAACTAAGAATCAATACACTTCCTTAGGCTTTACATGAATAATTTTGTCCCCTTTCTTTCCTTCCATGTTGATGCTTCCACTCTACCCTGCCAGCATTAATACTTGAGGAATTCAAGCTTCCAAGGAAATTTGATAGTTGTCTTCACATATTTGAGGATTCTCTGCAAAAAAAAAAAATGTGGATTTGTACTGTGGGGAGGTTAGGACTGGAACAGGAAGTAGAATGGACAGAAGACCCAAGCTCCCCTTCATTGTAAAGCTTTAGACAGAAGCCTGGTCAGCAGGGGTGTAAATGAAGGAAGAATTCAGAGGTCAGACAGGAGTGGAAAGCTAGGTCAGGTGTAAAAACCTTTCCGATCCTTTCAGACACCAGGAGTCTATGAGGCTACTTCAGTGCTGGGCAGGCCTACCCCCCTCAGGCAAACTAATAAAAAGCTGATGCAGTGTCTGTCAGTTACAGGGGGCGGCGGAGGGGGGACAACAGATAGAAACTTTATCAGACTCGTCTAGATTCTGTGATTGATTTAATCATCCGCTCTTTTTTTTTTTTCCGACTCTCAAATACCGTCAACATGAAACACATAAGAAATAGAAGAGTACAGGAAAGATGTAGTTCTTTTTCAGCCCAAGACTTGTGTACATCTCTGTTTCTCTGTGTTGAGCCAGCTGCGTGATATGGCTCTCAAAAATGAGAATGCGCATGCAGCCTCCATGAGATTCTACTAAACAGTGTATAGTGTCCAGAACAAGGTGATCTGAGCGAGTCCGAGGTCTGTGTTCAGGTGTGGGTGTCAGACTTGATGGGGAATGGACACATATGGCACCACGTCCAGAGACAGGTGAGGAGGAGAATGAAGTCAGTCCTGGGAGCTTTCTGGTTCAGGTAACAGAAAGCCTGCCCCACAAGGGGAGCTGATTGACTTGCATGACCAAAAAGTTAAGTATTGCTGGTGTTAGGAAGATCTTTATCCAGCAGATCATTTTGGGCTTCATTCTTAATAGGCTTCTCTCTTCACAGAGCAAGAGTGGCTCTTGGGGGTCCTGGGGGTGACCTGTCTGCTCCGAAGGTCACCTCACCTGGAGGTTTACCTTCCCGGTTTAGAAGGGAAGGGCAGATCTCTTTTCCCCGCAGGCAGCCAGAGGCCCTAGGCTTCCGTTTGATTGGACCAGTTTAACTCCCCGCACCCAGGGCGTTCAGATGATGCTGGCTAGTTGAAGCCTGAACCACGTGCCCCACCCGTAAAGCTGAAGGTGCAGCCATCTTCCCATGAAGCACGTGGCTGCTTAGGGCCAGGGGAGTGTTGTTAGAGTGCCGCTACTAACGGAAGGGAGAAGGATGGAGGGCAACCAAACACAGCACGTGATCCTGGGAAGGAAATAGGATGTTCGTTCCGGAAAGAAGACGTTGTGGAGACACAACAGCTATCTTCAGATACGCGAAAAGCTGTCAGTAGACTTAATCACTGCAGCTCCAGGCCGTGGGCACATCTTATAGGAAGACATATTTGAGCTCAGAATAAGAAGGAACGTCCTAACAGTTGAAGCTGTGCAAGATCGAGTCATTGGAATCCCATCGCTGGAAGTCTTCAGCAAAGACAGGATACCTGTCTGCCAGGAATAGTGTGAAGCAAATTCCTACACGGAACAAGGAACTGAAACAGGTGACTAACACCGTTCTGGATCTGTGGCATGGGGAGGGTTTCAACCAGTAGAGATGCAAACTAAATGATGGCTCCAGGAAAGCCCTCTCAGGCATTCTGACACACTAAGATGACTTTTGCCGTAGCAGGTTTATTTGACAATAAGGAGTAGAATGGGCAACAGGCCTTTCTCAGAAAAACCAACACCCCTCCCGCCCCACCCCCACCCCTCC